TTACGTGAACAGCATTTTTAATGGGATTTAGTTTAGCTTCACGCGTTGATCTATGAATTTATTGCTATACATGGCAAAACCTTTAAATTATTCAAAGAAATTAAAGCCTTTGAATATTTACGAAGGAATTGAGGCTAGTGACGTAACCCAATCATCACTAAGGTCTAACCGCTTTTTATCGGCTTGATTGGACATGTTGCTTCAAAGCAAGGCCCTTGGGCGACCCTATTGCATAGGAGCGAAGAAGTTTAATATCATGACTCAAGCATGTTGTTTCGGGCAATTTACTTATTAAAATGTTGACGTGGTACAGCCTTGAGCGAGATGATTCCTTCCTCTAGTTGCTGCGATATTGTCTTGTAATTTGCGACACAAGTTACTGTTTTAGATGGCGTAATGGACTCGAATTAGGAACAAAGTTGTTTTATCTCGTTACCGTCGTTTGATATTTTTGTTTCGAACTACGAAGTGCACTTAATTCTTGATAAAGCATCGGAAATTGTATAGAGCATTCCAAATATACTAGAGAACTTGATTATTGNACCTGAAATCTACCTCACAAATATATTAATACGAACCAAATGCGACGAATAATTAACGAGAAAATCGATACGATAAATTTGATATCCACCATTTTCTTGATGGCCACCATTTTTTATAAGAAGTTAGAAAGTTTATACCGACACAGATAATATATACCGTAGTATTTTTAAAGGGGAACTATAATATTTTCTGTCACCAAAATGTATATTTGTCATCAAGTTGTATCACCAAATATTAAGATCTATCGCCACGAAATATTTTCGTTCTCAGATAAACAAATGTGTTCCCAGGTATGAATCACCAAATTAATGTTAATATAATATGTGTAAAATTAAAGATGGATCACCAAATAAATTAGTGCATTGATTGAATATAAACATCGTTCTCATAATAATAGTTTTAGTTACTTAAATTTTTAATTGATATTATTTGCACGATTGTACCTATAACTTGTTGGCGCGTTGGATTTTCTGTAAGCCTTCAAGCAGCCTTCTAGAATAAATAAATAAATAAATAAATAATAGCTTTGTCCTCAAAATGGTAGATCTGTCAACAAATAAATCGATTTTCGATCCCAAACAGCGATTCCCTTTAATTTGTTATTTTGTCACGTAAACTATGTGTTTTATTTACTAACCTGCTAGAAATTTCATCTAAATTCTGCTTTTACCTGTGGGAATTAAGATCCTTGGGGGAGGCATTACCTATATGTCCAATAAAGTAGCAGGTAGACTTTATTCGTGATGATAACTCCTAATTTTAGTGAAACTTTTTGAAATTTTCTAGCGACAAAAATATATTATAATTGGTGATCACTTTAAAAACTTTAAATTAATTTGCTTCAATACTTATTAGGACAAAACCTATTAAAATACATTCAACAATATTAATTTGGTACTAGACCCTATTATTATCTAGGTCTATATTTTAGGTGTTTTTTCGTGGAACTGATTTTATATTGTTTGGTGACTTGATTTTGGTGACAAATTAATCTGGGGGCACGGCAGTGCCCCCACCAAGTCGAGCAAAAAAGCGGCACGGCCGTACCATCCTTTTCTCGAAGCAATTCAGGCCATATTCGACCCCCTGTATCATCGTTGTAGATAAAACTAGAAGACTGAATTTTCACTATCCATGCAGGCATTGTAAAGACACGGTATATTTCAAATTTCATTCAATTTGAACCAGTAGTTTAAGAATTATAATGGGTCAGTTTCTTAATTTTGTCACTCACTGACTGACTGACTGACTCACCGATCATCAAAATTCTAAGGCACTTCTAGCAGACCTAGAAGCTTCAAATTTGGAATATAAGTAGTGTTTGGTATGAATCAAGGAAAAACTAAAATATTTGGGGGCACGGTAGTGCAACCGCTAAGTAAAACAAAATTTTTCAATTTCGGTCCAGTTTTATAAATATTTAACTACTTACCTAAATAAGTTTGTAATATCATATAAAATTAAATATAAAGGCACACGGTAGTGTCCCCGCCAAGTCGAGTAACATTTTTCAATTTCGGTCCAGTTTTCAGCTCAAGAAGTAGAACCGGAAAAGAGAAAACGGAAGGCTACCTACAAAAATAAGAAAATTTCATAAGTCAGAGAGAGGACTTTAAGTAAATTCGTTGCTGGTTAGATATACATACAATAAGTAGAAGGTACCGAAAAGGAAAAAAGTAGAACTGTTTACAAAATACAAAAAGAAATGAGATCCCACTTTCTCATCGGCCGACCGTTGACCGCTCCAGCCTGTGAAGACATCACCGAGGTGCCGAGCAGTCGCCTGGCACGCTACGACCGAGTCGAGCAACTACGGCAACATTTCTGGAGGCGCTGGTCGACAGAATACGTGGCGGAGCTTCAACTAAGAACAAAATGGAAAACGCAGAAGGACGACATAAAACTAGATAGTCTTGTCCTTATCAAAGACGATCATCAATCGCCTCTCAAGTGGTGCCTGGGGAGAATCATACGCGTCTTCCCTGGCAGAGACGGAGTTTCACGAGTCGCTGACATTCGCACCGCGACGGGGACAGTACAGCGGGCCTTTTCAAAGATCTGCCCACTACCACTGCCCACTGCAGCTGAAACGTCGACGCCTGCAATCTCGTCGACGCCTGCGACCTCGTCGAGACCTGCGGCATCATCGGGGAGCCCTTCGATGACACACGCATGAAGATTCGATCATCATCATTTTGGAAGCTTGGAGCTTCCAAGGCCGGCGGCATGTTAACGCCATCTATCGGCGCATCAGCGCACATAATACGTCTGAAGTTGTATACGAGCAAGGAGCCTGGAGGGGAGCGCGGGGGCGGCCCGCGTCAACTTCACTCGATTACCAGCAAGAAAACACGAACGAACAACGGTTGTAAATTAATCTAAAAAGTAATCGAAATATACGAATTATTTCTTCAGTCAGCGTTATTCATTCAATTAAACGTCGAAACAATTATGACCACCAAAATGCGAAATTTTTCTGTCTAAAAATGAGACATTTATTACCAAACCACAGTTTGTTAATTTTTTTTATGGTAGACAAGGAAATATAATTAAATAACTAAGTAATCCGAACGACATTGTTATCAACATGGATGTCAATGAACTCAATGTAGCAATGACTTGCACTTCACTAATATTTTAGTGAGCACAAGATGAAAATTATGAAATTCCTAAAAGATATTGAGTTTACTCTTACACTAAAAAGTATTAAGTAGTGTTAATTCAGTCATGTAACTTCAACAGGTTACAGAAATAGTTACAATACAATCAATAATAAAAAAAAACAAGATTGTATAACTTTACATGTTGAAGGAGGAATTAAAAACACAAAACGTAAGGAAACATTACTCTCTACAATATTTTTGAAAACCTTCTAATACAGAAATATTTAACAATGGAAAGCATGTTAGCAGGGCAGAATGACTTCAAATATCACAAACAGCATGAGATAACAAGGAGCTGCGGTAGTTGATAGCGCTGTAAATAGCTTGCTCATCGATGGGGGCCTTTGACGCGATAAAGGGCGCCGGCGCAGCCCCACTGCACACATCTAAATGTAAGTACCTACCTATACTATATACTTGTAAACACAAGCACAAGTCTCTTGTAGGCTAAAGGAAGCAATTTACTGGAATATCAATAATACTGAATTTAAAAATTTTACATTTTACAACCTAAATTGATGTTTAGAAGTGTTTAAGTATCTATGTACCTAACAGGAGAATAATAAAAGAGTGAGAATTGCTAATATTGTTTTGAATTAATCTTCACAGCTAAAAAATGCATTCCATTAGTTTGTGCGTTCACATTGCCTAGACATTAACACTGATGCTAAGACTGATGCTAGCCAATCGGGCTTTGAAAAGCAATTTGAATCATACAAGTCACTTATTTGAAAACAATGTGCTTGATAACTAACTCCATTACTCAGAAACGCAAATTAAAAAATTAAATCAAATTATTATCTTGAACAGAGAGAAGTTTGTTAGTACAGCTGTTTGATTGTTAACAAAATCAGCCTTATCAAATAGATACAGAGGAAGGAAATGTAACGTTTTGTCAGAATTATCAGGCGTTGCACATGTTTACTCTGAATTATGATAATAGGAGGAAGGCGTGTTGTAATGGAAGGGAAGTTACGTTTATTAGTTTGTAAATGACACAAAAACATTTTATTGGCCAAATAAATTTCAAACTTTCATGGTCAGTAACAAAAATTTAATTATTTCAATTTTAACACAAAAAATAAAAGGTTTGTGGTTTAGCCTTAGGTTAATTCTATTGCTCGATTGTCCATGCCATTTTTTCCTTGTTAAGGAATCTGTGTGGATGTTATTTGAAGCAATAATTTAAGTTTTTAATGTATTTTTATTGAGTTACTAGCTGACCCGGCGAACTTTGTTCCGCCTTAATGGCAATAAATAAGCAGACTTTTTTTTTATTTCGAACGGGATAAAAAGTATCCTATGTCCTTCTCCTGGCTCTAAACTACCTCCCTGACAATTTTCAGCTAAATCGGTTCAGCCGTTCTTGAGTTATAAGTGGAGTAACTAACACGACTTTCTTTTATATATGTATATTAGATATATAGATGTAGGTATATATTTAATGATTTCCATGGACAAAATTATATAAACCTAATCAAAAGATTTCATAGGGTCAGCCCTGTGCGAAGAGAATACGAAATAAAAATAATAATAAAATAGTCACCTAGCAGAATGTATGAACCAGCACCTCATAAACAGGAACTGTGACTTAAAAATAGCAAGAAGTGTCGATATTTGTGTTAATCTAAAGGCATTTACAATGCCGTTACTTTAACAGAGGGATAAACGCCCATTCACTAGGTATTACGGGCCACAGCAAGATCGTAACGCAATTATTTACCGCCCAAGTATCGAACAAAATTAGCGTGTTTGTAAACAAAGGGGCCGGCAAATTCCACATTTTTTACTCACCAGGACTTTGATGAATCGGCTCTCCAGCTCATCTCGATCCGGCATTGGAGGCTTCGTCCGATTCCTGGTTGAAGGCTGGCGGACATGGTTACTCTTGGTCGACGCGACCGGTCCGTCCAACATTGTTGGTTCCCTTGACGTGATCAAACCCATTTTACACTAATTAACTGGCACCACTAATGCAACCACATTATATTCAGGTCATTTTATCACAGATAACAGCACGCATACACTGAAACTAATTATTTTCAACGGATCACATCACAGTTCGCGGCGGAGACGCTCCACACGAGTTCAACAACAAATGGCGAGCGCAACACAATAGCAAAACCAACGACGAAACACGAATGATGAATGAAGTGAAGTGAACAGCAAGTGGATGGTCTGAAGTTGACGTTTGAAAAGCTTTGACAGCTAGCTAGTGACGAGCTATAGATGACCCACGCTGAACTGTCCCACCAAACTCAATGACAGGGGGGCGCTACCATCGTTCAACTATATGGTTTCCAACATGGCAAAAATCTGAACCAGCGATCCGGTATTGACGGTGGCGCCCCACTGTCAATGTCATCGACAGGACAGTCCAGTATTTTGGAACTATACGAACTAAATTAAGACAGATACCAGAGACAATGTAATAAATGGATAGAACACTTCATACCACAAACATGCATGCGCGTATGAAGTGAAAAAGAGATGCATTTTACGTGAACGTCAGAATGGCGGGTGTATGATCACAGAAATGAATAAAATAAATATGATTAATTAATACCTGAGGTGTACCTTGGTGTACCTTTAGTTATTTATTTTGTACTTCCCTAAGACGGGAACAATTACGATTACAAAATGAGCCGCCAACCTGATATCAGGTTGGCGGGTGTATACTGAAATTGGACGAAACAGGTAAGTTATGGTATTCTAATATTTATCATTATTTAGTACCTGAAATCTACCTCACAAATATATTAATACGAACCAAATGCGACGAATAATTAACGAGAAAATCGATACGAAAAATTTGATATCCACCATTTTCTTGATGGCCACCATTTTTTATAAGAAGTTAGAAAGTTGATACCAACACAGATAATACATTACCGTAGTATTTTTAAAGTCTGTTTTTTATGACACGCACACTTGTGAATTTGTCAATACCATTAATTTGCTAAAATCAAAAAGTATTGATAGCAGCGCCCTCCTGTAATTATGCATAGAGGAATTAACGTGTAAATATCTTAAATAAGGTTGTACAACGTGCAAATTAATGGTATTGGCAAATTCACAAGTGTGCGTGTCATAAAAAACAGACTTTAAAAGGGTATGATTTAAGCTGTCACCAATTAAAGTCGTTTTCTGTTTCCATAATAATACAGTTTGTCCCCAAAATAATAGATCCAATCAAAAACAATACTTGTCAAAAAGACCAAGTCTCGCAACTCAGTTGTTCTACGGTAAAAAGTTGTGAGATCCATGTAATACCAAGTCCAGGCCAGGAAATCTTTAACGTTTTACATAAATTATTGACTTGGCCATCGCACTAAATAATTTAATTTACACGTGTTTTCATGCGATGGCCAAGTCAATATATTTATGTAAAACATTAAAGATTTCCTGGCCTGGACTTGGTATTACATGGATCTCACAACTTTTTACCGTAGAACAACTGAGTTGCGAGACTTGGTCTTTTTGACAAGTATTGTTTTTGATTGGATCTATTATTTTGGGGACAAACTGTATTATTATGGAAACAGAAAACGACTTTAATTGGTGACAGCTTAAATCATACCCTTTTAAAGTCTGTTTTTTATGACACGCACACTTGTGAATTTGCCAATACCATTAATTTGCACGTTGTACAACCTTATTTAAGATATTTACACGTTAATTCCTCTATGCATAATTACAGGAGGGCGCTGCTATCAATACTTTTTGATTTTAGCAAATTAATGGTATTGACAAATTCACAAGTGTGCGTGTCATAAAAAACAGACTTTAAAAATACTACGGTAATGTATTATCTGTGTTGGTATCAACTTTCTAACTTCTTATAAAAAATGGTGGCCATCAAGAAAATGGTGGATATCAAATTTTTCGTATCGATTTTCTCGTTAATTATTCGTCGCATTTGGTTCGTATTAATATATTTGTGAGGTAGATTTCAGGTACTAAATAATGATAAATATTAGAATACCATAACTTACCTGTTTCGTCCAATTTCAGTATACACCCGCCAACCTGATATCAGGTTGGCGGCTCATTTTGTAATCGTAATTGTTCCCGTCTTAGGGAAGTACAAAATAAATAACTAAAGGTACACCAAGGTACACCTCAGGTATTAATTAATCATATTTATTTTATTCATTTCTGTGATCATACACCCGCCATTCTGACGTTCACCATTTTACGAGTTTCCACGTAAGTAAATACTCACTAACGTTTATGGTTGTAATGATTCAGTTTGCACAATTATTAAGCAGTGTCAAGTTATTAATTTATAATATTAATAAACTTACGCATTTAAATAATGAAGTTGCCTACTTATTTAACAATTTTATTACACATGACGTACAGCCGGTTGAAAGTGTTGTGTTGCTGTATTTACGGGGTAAATCTTGAGATTTATAAGCCATGCGTCTGGCTGGACTGAGTGCCTAATAGAGAAATTTCAGATTTTTTCTATTAACAAAACTCGAAAATATATGTAAAACCAATAATTAATTCCCTTGTGAAAGAATCATGAAAATATCCCTATAAATAATGTAGTTACAGGGCCCCAAAGTTGCGATAACAAATACATATTTCACGCAATTTGATCGGTGACGTCACGGCACTCATTCGGAGGACACACAGTGAATTACTGGAATCACCCCTAAGCCCCGATTACGGTAATTTTTAACGTCTACAATCCAGACACGCTTCTCGATTCTGCGATACGATTGGTCGTTCAACAGCGTACATCAGCTGTTTTGACCAATCGTATCGCAGAATCAGAAGCGCGTCTGGATTGGAAACGTTAAAAGTTACCGTAATCGGGGCTCTGGGTTCAGGTTCAGTGCTGTTGAGTGTTGACAGATCCAATTTTTGAAAATCTAGTAGTTTTTAATTTTTCAGCCAGGGTCATTGAAGATTCCTTCTAAGTAAAATTGTATACCCTTTTTTCAACATATAATGTCACCGCGATTTAAATGATACGCAACGCCATCTATTGGCAACCATAGGAAAATTTGCCACTTAATAGGTGATGTGATATGTGTGATCTCATATCACAGTGTATTTTTGTTTTATGGTTTTAAGTGTACCTACCAAGAGCTTTAACTTTTTTCATTAAAAATCGAAGTGCTCAATCTGAATTTGTTTGTGAAATTAATAATGGATAAATCTATACAGGGTGGAAACGATAAGTGATCTCACTCGATTATTTCTAAACTATACAAGATATCCAAAAATTGGTTACTGATCCTGAAAGTGTTTCACGAGCTCTTTTAAACGGTACCAATATTAAGTTACAGAATTAACTGGATCTATCTGAAAATTCAATGTTTTCAACCTCCATACTAAATGTATGCCAGCCACACAATATTAGAAGTGTTAATTTTTTTTATTAAATAATGAACACTTAAAATGAACTCGTAAATTCCATTCTTATTTAAAATTATTCATGGAAAACATTTAGGCTGTGGTTTTAGGCTTTACTTGCTATAATATTATCAAGACATGAGTGCTATGACTGTGGCAGTACTAAATGTATGGAAGCTGGAAACATTGAATTTTCGGATAGATCCAGTTTGTTTTGTAACTTATTATTGGTACCGTTGGATAGAGCTCGTGAAGCATTTTCAGGATCAGTAACCAGTTTTTGGATATCTTGTATAGTTTTTAATATTATGTGGTTTTACTAAATGTATGGAAGCTGGAAACATTGAATTTTCGGATAGATCCAGTTTGTTTTGTAACTTATTATTGATACCGTTGGATAGAGCTCGTGAAGGACTTTCAGGATCTGTAACCAGTTTTTATATATCTTGTTTAGTTTAGAAATAATCGAGTGAGATCACTTATCGTTTCCACCCTGTATATATAAAAGAAAGTCGTGTTAGTTACTCCACTTATAACTCAAGAACGGCTGAACCGATTTAGCTGAAAATTGTCAGGGAGGTAGTTTAGAGCCAGGAGAAGGACACAGGATACTTTTTATCCCGTTCGAAATTAAAAAAAAAGTCTGCTTATTTATTGCCATTAAGGCGGAACAAAATTCGCCGGGTCAGCTAGTATCTCAATAAAAAAAAGAAACATTATTTTTTGTAGATATAATTTTATTGGTTTACGTAGGTACAAAATTACAGCGGTAACGAGACCAATGTTATTGCCCGTATCCGATTAAAATAATATACAATACACCAATGTTGTTAGCACCATTTTTTTGTGTTTTTATTTATTTTTTTATAGAAAGATACCATTACCTTAACCGCTACGAATGCAATAAGTAGTAATAACAAAAAGTTTATGGTCTTTTTTTTTTCAATAATATGTAATTAACTATTTAACCCTTATTCAAATGCGAGCTGGTATGCATTTTTTTTACAAAGTTGAAGTGGATTTTGGGTAATTGTGGGTCACTTATTTCATATTTTTGATCAAAATTTATTAAAAAATAGGGGAAGGGGTAGTTTTTTGGGTGGTAAATAATTTACCATTATCCATTCATGACTACAAATTATTCAATGTTGGTGGTAAAATAGTTACCATTGTCCGTTTTGGTTTATTTTTGGTTCTTGACTAGTGACTTCCTCTTGGTTCTACCTATATTTTATTAAATATTTTGGGAATGAAATAATATTGTTTTTATAAAAGTAATATTTATTAATATTTGTCATTATGCTTACAATTATTATGCTTACCTTGAGTCTGAAAGTAACAATAAATTCACTAATACGTAATGTCAAAACGTTAGGTAAACAGTTATCAAAATAACTTAAAATTTCTCCAAATATTTATTTAGTTTTATTTGTGCACATACAAAAAACAACAGTTATTTTTATATATCATCAAACTTTTGTCAAGACGGGATCGGACAGTGGTAAACTATTTACCACTTCTTTAAAATGTCTAAACTATATGAATAAATCAATTGCAGACGCTGCCTATAAGTGAGACTATACAATAAATGTTATAGTTTAGGATTTTGAATCGAAAAAACACTTATTAGAATTTTCGTTGAACAAAGTTTCAAAAATACCAAAAACGCGCGCTAAAAACTTGAAATTTTTCACACCAAAACCGTTTGGTTGACTTTGACATTACCTGACAGTGACAAATAACGTTGAAAAGTTGTAAGATGGCATAGATAAGTAAAAAAATATATTTAAAAATATAAATAAGTGACCACGATATCTTTAAGTATCACCATATCGAAAATTAGGATCCTTTTTTAAAAGTAAACGAAGTGGTAATATATCTACCTTTATTTGAATAAGGGTTAAAAGATACGTTAGGTATTGATACAATGATCACACAACAGTCTATAACTAATCGAACATTATGTTCACAGATGAATTGAGTTTCAAATTCCAACCATAATATGAAAATAATTTGAAACTTAATGCACAACAGAAAATTTGGTCCAGCTTCAACAAAATGAAATTTTCTCTGTTAATAATAAAATTAAATCTCCACATCAGAACAGTCTTTGGTTAGGACAGAAAAGATATCAGAAACTAAATAACTTAAATTTACCATAATATCACAAGCATTAACATTGATACGGTTCTGTTTTGCTAAAATTTCAGTCAAACCTTTGATAAAGAAAATAAGCATCATAATTGAAATTAAAATGATAAATTATTACTTTTATTATGTACTGCAATACATTAATTTCCTTAAAACTGAATGGTGTTTACACAAAAACTAAAATCCAGAGTGCAGTAATATAACATTATTATTGTGCTTAGTGTTAAACTATGAAACAAAGCTAAACATTAAAATATTGATACCCTAGGCAAACGATATGACAAGCGTTATTCAGCGCTACCTATCAAGATGGCAAATAACTACAGTTAAACATAATCGACAAAGGCTTACAATGCACGAAATACTATGCGAAGGTCGTACAGTAGTGTACATCGTTCATTTGTCCAAACTACTTATGATACACGTACTTGTTTAATACTTTTAAAGGCATAATATCCCTCGTCTACAATAGATCCACCTTAAGCTAAATTTCTAATACCTTATTTCAACATGAAACTTACATTCTCACACTTTCAAGAATTATTTAGCGTAACGTATTTTTTTATATTTTTTGTCAAATGTTAGTTAACTAGACTAACAAATCTACGTAAACTTATACAAACTTGAAAGTGCCGAGGCTGTAAATTATTACTTAAAATCATCAAAGGCACAATTAAATGAGCTTATGGCAGCTTGCCTAAATACGCACAAGGGACGACACCACTAATGACCTCCTGTACATAAACTAATCTACATTATTGAAGTACAGATACTCAAACACTCGATCAGAAATGCTTGTAACCTTTGTTTAGCTGGATTAAATACTATAATTTATTCACCACGAGATCTCTCTCCGTCGGGCTGGCAACGTAACTTGAGACTTTGATAGCGCATACTATCAAGTAGAGGTTTATATAACTATTGTTTAAATATATTTTTAGTATTGTGTGAATATAAAACTTTTTAAACTATTGAATGAACAGGCCCTAAAAGTGCCCCAAAAAATTAATAACTATTTACTAGAAACTTATTGCTTGAAATGTAAATATACATACGGACGGTTTATTTGGATGTTATGTTAAACATTTCAGGAGTGCTGAAGTTACACGCACAACACACATAATGCAGTTCCACAATTGCTTCGTGTCCGCAGAATAAACGTCAGACTGCTATTACCGTTAGCACGGAGACACGTGTGCAGATCATTCATTGTCCATTCGATGGAGGTAAGGTGACCTCTGCAAAAGAAAAAAATTCTTCGTACAATAAAATAGCCGTGAATAGTGTTGGTTTGGTGCCATTTGCGAGTGACCGGACCTAACTCTACAGTGGCGGGATCTTGGTGAGTGCATATGCGATCTCGCAAATTGACCCTCCTGTCACTTGCTACTGACGTTAACCGGTGAGCGCTAAAGCGGTAGGAGCTGCAAGTTTGCATAAGCAAGTGACAGGAAGGTCAATATTACATCAGCCAGCACCAAATGCAGTCTTCTTCTTTTCGTGTCGACAACAAACCTACACAGTATCAGCCCAAAACTCCTACCTATGTGTAGTCTCGATTAATATTGAAGGGTTCTCGCAGGACAAATCAGAGGTTCTGTCTAACCTTTGCCTGAAAACCAACTGTGACATTCTTTGCGTGCAAGAGACCCATCGAGACGAAACACAGAGCCGTCCACAAATAGCCGGACTTAAGCTTATCGCCGAGATCTAACATCCGAAACACGGTAACCAAATGCAGTGTTAAAACCGTTCACGAAAATAATGTAACTATTAGGGAAATCAGACTCCCTTCCGCTCCACGGGTCTCTGAAACGGGTGGGTTACACCAACTGTAGCACACAACACACTCACACTTGGAGGAGGGGTAGTAGTAGAGCACAGCGCAGCCGGGCAGCTGCCAGCGCGAGGCGTGAAGCTCGATCAGCTGGAGCAGCGTGCGGCGGATGGAGGGCGCGGCGGCCGTGTTGAGGAAGGCGTCGCGCACGCCCGTCAGCAGGCGCTCCAGGTCGCCCGGCAGCTGCGACTCCAGGTCGCGCCCGATGTACGTGAGCACGAAGAACAGGTTCTCCGTCTGAAAGGGATACAAAAGACATTATTATCTAGATTCCGTGCCATTTGCTGCCTAGAGTAGATCGAATGCGTTCACTCTAGCCCAAGCTCAACACCGATCGCGATCGCGACTTATTTCCATCATCATAACTGAGTGTATAGACTACACGCGGTTTTGATGATGGAAGGACATAAGACGGTTATCACACTGCGCCGCGCTCCGCCGCGAGCGCGTGATTTCCATATAAAAAATCACACGCGCGGACGCGTTGTCAGTGTGAAGTGCCGCGCGTGTTTTCTATACAAACTGAGGTACTTGCATACAATGATTAAATCTGTCGAGCGCAGCGCAGTGTGATAACCGCATAACTATCATTCTATGCGATCGACGATGTTTGTTTTATTTGGTACGCATAAGATTATGTTGACACTTGCAATATCATGCCAATAAGAGTGCTCGTTTTCAGTTTATTTTTTTTTTAATTTTGGGGCTCTTGTCGCAAAATTAAAAAAAGAGCCCCAATCTTTCATACGAAGAAGAGGTGTTAGAATAGAATAGAATATATTTATTTGCTTTAAAAGTTGCAACAAAGGATGAAACACATAATATTATTATAACCGCACTATTAAGTATTAAAACAAACTCACATCGCTAGCAGAGGGCACGGGCTGGCGGATGCAGTCCTCGCAGCACTTGCAGATGAGCGTGAGCAACACCTGGCCGGGCTGCGCGCTGGCGCCGCGCCGCTGGATGGCGCGGCGCCGCAGCTGGCAGTACATCTCCAGCAGGAACGACAGGAACGCCATCAGCCGCGGCCGCCCGCCGCCCACCATCGCGCCCAGCAACTGGGGAACGGACAGGGTTAAAACACAATGGATAATGTGGCAAGGCAAGGTCGTGAAGTAAGAAAAAAGCATGAAACTTACTTTTTCCTAAGAATCACGATATTAGGACAACTAACAAAGAGGGTTTTCGCGATTGAAAAATCCGCCAGATGGCAATACGTAAACGCGAGGTCCAAATGCTGCATGATTGGTTATTTTTGACATGACATTGACAGATATGTCAAAATCCATCAATCACGCAGCATTTGGACCTCGCGTCTACGTATTGCCATCTGGTGAAATCTTCTTATTGAAATAAATACAGGTAAGTAACATGGCAATCGTTTACTGAGTCAGAAAAAAATGATTGGAATTAGTAGGCTTAGTGTGTTTTTACGTCAATTTCGATGTCGAACTGCTTAAATAGTGACATTAAATGTATGACGATTTGTACAGCGCCCCTAGCGGAAACTTTTAAGAACTAAAATCTTCATATTATTTTATTTTAACGCGCTCGCTAGTGACGACGTTTGATGTAAACTCCCACTAAGTCCTCAGGACTCGAAATCATCCTGCATGGTACTTCTTCTTATTATGGTATCTTGTATGGTAATAAACATCTCCAAAGTAAGGTTAGCTTAATATTATTATTTATTGATAACAGCTATAACTTATGTTAATAAGCTGCCAGCTAGCCTTTATGTGCACTTACGCTTATTTTGTAGATATGGCCGCTCTATAGATTTACAAGTCAATTGTCTTTGGCATATAAAATTCGAAGAGCTAATGATGAACTAGTTCGTCAAGTTCACAAGCTTTGAAAATAAAATCCTTACTTCTGAAACTTATTTTTGGATTGATTGGCGGGAAAGATAAGTGTGAAGCGTAATTTTTGGCAGTTTTGCGTTATTTTATAGTGTGCTCGAATATGAATATGTGTTGCGTAATAGGCATCGCAATAAATGTTTCTTTTCTTTCTTGATTGAATATGAATAATGATGTGTCTGTGATTGTTTATGGGTGCAAATGAAACAATTTAAAACAGTACAACATCATTTCAAGTTCTTTCAAAAAGTCTGCGTTAGATCGCAGTAAAGTGCCTCTTCTTTACTGAATATCAAGAGAACGTTGTAAATAATATCATAAATATCATCATTCACTGAATCATTATTTTAATCCATAAATGTCATAACGGATCGACTACCCATTTATGTTATAACTGCGGTTTTTAATGTAAAGTTCGCTATCTTTAAAGTTCGCTGTCATATAGTATGAAATTATCGATATGATGAAATTATCACCGATTGTGATAGCGCTCCGCTCTAAAACCTACAAATAAGTATGTCCTACGAGTCCAAAATTACAATCAGGAAGGTCTCGCCGGTCTTCATTTTTTGTACCTATGTCTCAGCATATCCCGCTCACCTTGTCGCGGTCGTGGTACCACTGCTGGCACGTGTTGAGCAGCGACTCGAGGAAGGTCTCGCCTAGGGTTTCTGATTTCTCGACTTATTTTTTTTCTCGAGTTTCGGGAATTCTCGAGGCCAAAGTCTCGNTCCGGTAGAACGCTCTACCCTCTTCCGGCTATGTACGAACAAGATGTGTCTGTGTAAGAACCCGAATAATAAATGCTTATCTCGCTAACTATCGGTCTTTTCATTAAAGAAACACAAGTTCTGATAATTATGAATATCAATGATTATGTTTTTAAATATGTAGGTTTTAAATTTTTTATGAAAAATGATCATTATGGTATCAGATTGTATGAGAAATATTTTCGGACTTCCAATGATAGGAATAGAAAAGTTATGTAAGAAAATGCGCTACCCATGCTAAGATTTCGCCGCTTTTTAGAAGCTGAACGCAGTGACCACACATCCCACACTGCAAACTTAAAAACGCCAAACTCGGTGATTGAGTTGCTTTCGGAAGCTCAACGTAGACGTAAATAGTAGACGCTAAAACGCGTGATTCCTTTACTATCCGAACGCATAGATCGCGAAATCGCGATGAGCTGCATCGATACAGTAGCAAAATCGCTGATGCTAAAATTAGCATGTGTGATTTTGCTGTGGCTACAATAGTATCAAGTGAAAGCAACTGGACACAAAAAGGAACTGTGAGAACAATAAATATTGTCGCAAAAAGATTATGAGTTCGAAAATTAAAATTATTTCAGTTGGTAACTAGGTAAACGAACGCAAACGCGACAGACTCCGTGACAATCTAAAATGCACGAAGCCGCGGGCTGTAGCTGGTTAACTCGTCTTCAATAATATCATCACATCTGAAAAGGCGCGCGCACAAAAGGTGTCTCCTAATTGTGCTAACAGCGCGTCACCGCGGCCAACCGCCCGCCCAAGCCGCCCGCCCTAGGCTAGGAGATCGTTTTCAATCCAATCCAATAATTTATAGAACGTTTTTGTGACCTGGTGCCGTCCACTTTGCCCTGAACAACAAGGCCGTCTCTATGATGTCGGTTACTGACGGGACAACATATTTACAGGAAACCGAGTCGATAGAGCCACAACATGCAACGATTTAGCCGCTTTTTAGGAGCTGAACGCAGCGACCACACCGCACGCTTAAAAACGCAGAACTCTGTTATTTTATCGCTTTCAGAAGCTCAACGAAGCGACAGCAGTCGCTAAAACGCGTGATTCCGTTACTGTCCAAACGCATGAAGTCGTGAAATCGCGATGAGCTACATCGAATCATCGATACAGTCGCAAAATCGCCGATGCTAAGAGTAAGTAGCATGGTGAATGTGTGCTGTGGTTACAGCAACTGGACACAAAAAGGAACGGTGAGAACAATAAGGCTGAGTTGCACCACCTAGCTTTGACCGTAACTATAACGATAACCGGTGTTTTTTGAATGGAGTTTGACAGATTTTTTACGTTTGTCAAAGTTAAAGTAAGATGGTCCAACCCAGCCTAAATATTGTCGCAAAAAGATTATGGGTTCGAAAATTAACATTAATTCGGTTGGTAGGTAAACGAACGTAAACGCGACAGACTCCGTGACAATCTAAAATGCACGAAGCCGCGGGCTGTAGCTGGTTAACTCGTCTCCAATAATATCATCACATCTGAAAAGGCGCGCGCACAAAAGGTGTCTCCTAATTGTGCTAACTGCGCGTCACCGCGGCCAACCGCCCGCCCTAGGCAAAGAGATCGTTTTCAATCCAATTCAACAATTAAATCTATCTATACCTACATAGGTAAAATGCTGAAACCTATTTATTACTTGCTTCTTCTCAGCACTGGCCCATTTATTGTCCCGAAGCAGTAGTAGGGTTAATACTGGGACAAAAAGCTTATTTGCAAAAATAAATGAGTTTTATGAGATTTTTATGAATTTTTACTTATGTTTGTTTTGCCCGCGGCTTCTCAACGTGGATTTATAATCGTTTTCAGCCAAATGACGTCCACTGCTGGACAAAGGCCTCCCCCAAGGTTTTCCACAATGAACGGTCCTGCGCTGCCCGCATCCAGGCTCTTCCCGCGACCTTCACCAGATCGTCGGTCCACCTAGTAGGAGGCCTGCCCACTCTACGTCTTCCAGCCCGTGGTCGCCACTCGAGAACTTACCTTACTTACTACTTACTTATTTATAATACCTTGTCGTTATAAATTGTGATGTGTAAATATCCTACTGTAGTTTGATCGTTTTGCGTGAAAGAGTAAACCTTATATATCCATCCATACCTACAACCTCATAAACTTTCACATTCATAATTAGGTATTATTGGGATTTCAGAGAATTGATGCATCTAAAATAGGATGTTTCTTACTCCTTACGGGGAATGTAAATTTTTAATAATATGATAAACACGTATTTAAATTGAATTACTGAAATGTATTTAATAGTTAATTACACAAGTACAAGTATTTTCTGCAACTCGTGTCAAGCCAAGTTCATTGACTATTTTATTGAGAAGAAAGCTACTAAAAATCTTATTTAACAAAAAAAACATAAAAAATGATTTTCAGAGCTTTTTAGAAACGATGGATTACGGCTTGAATCTTAAGTTCTTGTTGTAGCGGACTAGACCAGTTATTTTATTCGTCTTATTTTACTGATAGTAATGGTCTGTATCTGGATAATGGTGCCAACTGCAGATAAACAAAAAAGAATTAATGAAAATATTTAATCCTCAAAATTCTCACCCCGACTGCGGTCCCCTGGCCTACGAATGTTAGCCGGCAGCGTTTCCGCGGCGGTGGAAGCGGCGACTAATTTGCGCCTAATTGGTCTTGTTGGTGCCTCCTCCTTCCGGAGGGCTTCCGTAGGGCTGCGGAGGGCTACAGCGAAGCTGAGGCTAATTCTTACGACAATAGCCCTAAAGGGTTGGATTTGCGGATTACCTGGTGGTGCTGTCCTAACAAATATTTTGGTAATAAGAATAAGTGCTAAATGAGCTTTAAAAGAGCGTTTAAAAAAAGTCATAAATAACTCTTAAAACTCATTTATTTTTGCAAATAGGCTTTTATAAAGCACTTTTACACGTCCCAGTATTAACCCTGGGCCAGTGCCATTTGATTACCACCAAAGGTCGTCGTTAGTCGGCCGTTTGGTGTAGTGGTTCAGAACGGACTACTATGCCGAGAGGTCCCGGGTTCGATTCCCGGCCGGGCAGAAATTGAAATGATGAATTTTAATTTCTGTGACGGGTCTGGGTGTAAATATGTATAATATGTATGTATTTAATAAAAAAAAAAGTATATAAGTAGTATATCCGTTAAGCTAGCACCCATAACACAAGCATTGAGTTGCTTACTTTGGGGCTAGCTGGCGCTGTGTGAAATTGTCCAAAGATTTATTTATTTATTTAAAGGTCTTTATAGGCATTATTATTATGGTGTTATAGCGAACAACTAATTTGGGCCCATAAATATTTGTAACTGAGGTTGATAAACGGGACTATGAATAAAGAGGTCTACAATAGTGCTATTGGAGCCATTATTTCCACTTTGAGCGTTTATTACTTTGTGGGCGATTGAAAGACATAAATTTGCGGATTATTTGTTGGTTTGGTTGCGGGTTTGTATCTTGCGAGGTGCAAATGCCAGTTATAATGCAAGCATTAATCATTAACTTTTTCTGCTAATTATTAAATAAGTAGATTATGTACTGTAGCTACGAGGAAATTAGTTTTAACATTTTCAAACAAACTATCCTTTACTTTAGATATTGTTCAACAATTATGTATTTTTTAAAGGAATATTATATTATAAAAAGGGCTGTTTTCTAATCGCCGTACACGCTTTTGCTTACTTTTCTTATTGTTGTGAGAACTAAGTAAGTAATTATTACCTACGTAAGTGCAATTGTTTTCTGTTAAAGATCTAGGTACTAAGTAAATTAACTCTCCATAACTGTAACATACTTTATTTAAAGAACACACGAAACAAAGGAAATATTAGGTGATGTCAACTTAATATTTCCGATTAGGAGACAAAATTAGGATTTTTTTAGGACAAATGTCTAGTACCCATAGTACAAGCTTTGCTTAGTTTGGGACTAGAAGCGCAGTGTAAAATGTCTAAGGATATAATTTATTTATTTATTTAAATTAGAAATAATAGAATAAAGGTCAGCTGGTAGAGAATGATTTATGGCATTAAGCTTGCCTTTTTGTACGGAACATTGTTATGTGTGTGCAATAAAGTCTTTAAATAAATAAATTATTTCCTTAGAAACAACGACAATCTCAAATCTCCTTAGAGTAGAGATCATCTAGTGGTCTTTATAGGAGTTAATAATAACTCTACTTAAAGAAGCGAGAAAGCCTACGACTCTATTCGTTGATTTTGCAATTTAAATTTCAGACTTTTCAGGCTGAAAACAACTGTAGGTATTATTTGCGTCTGCTTGTGACCACGGCTGCAGCATCGCAGCCGAAACGTCAAGCCGTGAGTACATAATGTAACTCATTAATAAACGTCGCGTTAAGACCCGTGTCTTACTATTTTAATTGAAATGGAACGCGAAAGTTTAGAATCTTATAAGACATGTTATCATGATCCAAAGAGCACAGTCTCCTCATCGGTCCACGTTAAAGGTAGAACTACGTCGAAAGCCTATACCTAGCTCATAAAGTTTGACACGCGCTAGGAACGTGATCTATTTGGTTAGACCTATAGTTACTCCTAAGAGGCGACTTAGGGACTACACATCAAACAGAGAACGGGCAGCAGCGCTCTCTGAAAAACATCAATCTTTTAAACTGCGATCTCTAACCCGCCTGCCAAGCGTGGGCAAAACCCTCCACTATAGTGGAGGGAGGAGGCTCATAGTCCAGCAGTGGACTGTAAAAGGCTGTTGATGATGATGATGATAGTTAACCTGCAAACTACTTAAATAATTAACTGTGGTTTTCTGAATAAAGAAAAATAAAATAAAAAATATAATAATCGGGTATTATTTTTAAATTGACCTGTAAAGGTCAGTGTAAAAGCAGCAAGACAAAAAAAGCTTCATTAGATTCTTACTTTGAAGTTTTAAACATAGAGAGAGATTTATCGTTATATGATTCGCTTTTCTCGTGGTATTCATCGAAAAATAAAAATAAATAAAATGATAACTGAAGAGGAAACCACTAACACGTTTCATCAGATTGAAAACAGCCTTAAATGTTTGCAACAAGGGAAAAATCAGAGCAATCAATGCCTAAACCGCACCGGGCTCTCTCTGAACAAAACAGTGAACCTATCTTAAATGTTAAAGAAAAAAGAAAAATAGCAAACTACCTACATACAATAAACCTACGTTCAGATATTAATTAAACAGAAAATGCTAAAACATTCCAAATTCAAGTGAAAAAAAAAACAAAATAAAATCTAACTACAAGAAACTGTTTCTATGATCGCACAAAACAAAAAACCAAATCACGATCACTCGTAAACGAGTCCCCTACGCCCCATCCCAACAAACACTACCTCTAAATAACATCTAAACCCCCAAGTAACAAAGAATTAAAACAAAACCAATTCAACCCTGAAATAATCAGGCAAAAACGCCGCGAAATCGAGCCCAAACCTTAATCAGTGTCCGAGAAATTGAACGTATAAACGACAATTCACAACTAAATAGTATTGTAATTCCTTGAAATCATACGAAATTCGGTATTGATCTTGATTCACAACATTAATTTTACGAGTGTACGTATCGTAATACAAGTGGATACGGTCGAGTTTTGCGCAGCTGGGTTTGCGAGGGGAGAAGAGTGTGTGAGCGAGCCAGGTATAGGGGTGCTCCGTAATTTTGGGGGTGGTTCTACACAAGAGTTACGCCCCAGTCGTAAGGGTAGTCAGCAGTCTTAGAGATATAGCGGTGGCGCGACCACGCGGGGTGGAAACCGCCCGGTATAACCTATAAATTGGATTTTACAGTTGAATTTGTTGTTGATCGGACTAAGTGAGTGTTGATGATGTGCTAGTGTTGTTAAGTTGTTGATTTTTAGTAATAGGTAAGTTAAAAATAAAAATTTAAACGATTTCAAACTCTACCCTAGTGTTATTTACCGAATGAAGTCTATTGTAGAGACGGATTTTCATGTATTAAATTATTAATTTTCTGTGAAGTTAATTTGGCGCCCAACGTGGCAGGGCAATGTGTGTTATAGCTATGAATATTTAGAAAAATATTCTATTCTGGAAGAAAAGATTTGTAGATAAAATAACAATAGGTACTTGATAGGTAGACATTGTGTAAATATATCATATACACATTAAAACGTTTTATGAAACCTGTTTTGAGACAAATAAATACTTTCTATTCTATTCTATTCTATAGACTTATAAACGTAGTGAAAAATATTAGAACATTTCGACAAGGTGAGAAATGAATCGGTTTCTTAGTTACTGTATGCAGTAACTAAGAAACCGATTCAGTTATCGATTTCTAAGCAATATTTTTTTCAAGTAAAACTCATAATTATTTTGTATTAAAGAGATATTAAATAAACAAAAGTTATTGAAAGATTTACAAATTATTTGTTTACACTCGTGTAAGTAGGTATACCTACTTTAGCTCTATAGTTTTTGGAACAATGAATCCGGGATTAAAATCGACTTTTAAGCTTTTATAATGAACATACAAACTAAGCTTTGTTCAAATATTTTATTAATTTATTTTATTTTATTTTATATGGCAATAATTGAAACTGTTTTCCTAAAATATGTGTTACACAATTTATCAGAATTATGAAAAGTAGGTGTTGGGAACCGGTAGGTGGACCAACCTCTTTTGGTATTTTTGTCTATGTTTTATACTTTTTTGATACCTTTTGTTTTTTTAGTTTTGAAGTTTGTATGTTTTGATAGCCCTGTGGGCATTTTTGGTAAAAATAAACCTATTTTAATTTTAAAAGGTATTTCGTTATTTTTGTCCGCCCGAGCGGCTGACCACAAGTAGGGTTTTTTAAAAAGATTTCTGAAAGTAATAACCACCTACCTAATTTAAAAGATAAATAATTTTAAGGGATAATTTTATTTGTTTATTTCATAACAATCTTAGCTCTAACATTACAGGTTACTCCAATGCGATAGAGTAGATTAATTAGTACCTACATATTTACCAATTAAAATTGCCGCTATGGCTATAACATAAAATAAATAAAGTAACTTTTGTGAATTTAGTCAAAGAACAGCTGGATATGTCAACGGTTCTAGCTGCTACTAGTGCTGCTACTTAGAATCGAACTGTACCTTTCATTTCCATTATCTATATCTATATATATAAAAGAAAGTCGTGTTAGTTACTCCAGTTATAACTCAAGAACGGCTGAACTGATTTAGCTGAAAATTGTCAGGGAGGTAGTTTAGAGCCAGGAGAAGGACATAGGATACTTCTTATCCCGTTATTTATTGCCATTAAGGCGGAACAAAGTTCGCCGGGTCAGCTAGTTGTTTTATAATTAATCTTCGGAGAATAGAGAGGGGTTGATTATAGTGCTAATAAAGATTAAAGCTTTAGCTTTCGTGTAAGCTCTACCATTAGATTTTTCTTAATCTATAGCAAGGGTCTTCAAACTTTGAAGCCTTGGGGCCATAATATATGCCATAATATGAGATAATTTCTCACTTTAAAAAACATGTAAATTTTTCTTTCTATTACGATACTAATGTAGCAAATATTAGTTTCGTAAAGAAAGAAAAATTGATTATTTAGTCCGAAATTGCACTGTTATGTAAAATTTGTGTCCTTTTATATCGGATTACTAAATTACCTGATCATAATGAAGTACTCATGTACTACATAATTAATAATCGCCGCGTTAGAGCCCGTTACTATCATCTTATGCGAAATATTATAAAGAGGAAAGATTTGCTTGTTTGTATTGAATAATCTCCGAAACTACTTTACCGATTTGAAAAATTCTTCCACCATTAAAATCCTAACCCTAAAAACCCTATTTGTTGAAAATGAAATATTTTATTCAGCGACACAAAACAGCATCAAAAATATGAAACAAATGTAAAGAGAGTTGGTAATGTGCGTGTCACCGAAACGGTATCCACTTAGCATCATGTCGAGGTGTCGTAAGGGACACCACGACGCTGGTCTTCCGTGGATTTCTAATGAACATAGGCGGTACGAAGTTCGCCGGTTCAGCTAGTATTTCAAAGTCAAAATTTCTTTATTTGTTTAGACTAATAAATAGTACTTACAAATCGTCAAATATTTTGCTCTTAAGGAGCCTCTACATGTCTCATAATCTTTTTACCCTACCAGCGCTTCGAGACCAACATTTGGCAAGTGCTGAGAAGAAGCGCCGCAACAAACTCAGTCACCACTGTCTGCCGGTTAATATAAATAAATAGAAATAGCAGTTTATAATTAGGAATTTAGGACCGCCGCGCGCGCACGCGTGCTGGTAATATAATTAATTAGCGTCCGATTGGCCACCCCTGGCCATTCCTAAATGAACTTTTAACAGCGCCATAAAATTACAAAGTCAAATTATATAACCCTTTACGTGCAACTAAGATGAGTTTCGGTGTTTAGAGTCAGCTTTTACATAGAGGTGAACATTATATGTTTGTCTAATAATATAAAGTAATGAGCCTTAAATGTACTCTTATTTAAAAACCATTTTGCTGACGGTTAAAACAGAAAAATATGGTAAAAAATATATCCTTGACAGAGAAATTGGTTGATAAATAGGTAATTAGTCTTAAAGGTAGAGTAAAAGTGGCAAATGTGCATTTTAAAAATATTTCTCAACTTAGATCTGAAAAAAAAAAATTTTGTCAAAATTGTGTTTCAAAAATACTTTTTCTGTCATGAATTCTATTGTCAGCAGTTTTTCCTATTTTATCATGTAGTTTCGGATCTGTCTGTCACTCTGCTCATCTTAACTCTATAGGCATAACATCCGACGGTTTAGAGAATAGTTAGTCCCCCCGTCCCCCCTAGACAGAGTTACAAACGTGACAGTTGTAATTCCGAAATTACTACACTTCGGTGTTTTTATTATTTAGTTACTTCGCACCATGAAGCGAATTCAAAATTAAAACTGTCACGGATGTATTAGGCCCACTTTCGTCTAAAACTCCCGCTCTACACTCGTTCATAGCCACCATTCGGCGGTGTAACGTTACATTTCGGTGTGAGCGTCGGCGGTCGTTGATTAGCGCGGTTACTGCCAAGTTTACAGCCGATCCTATCGCCAAGTGACCATCTGCCGAGCTTTGTAGTCGGTTAGCCAAGTTGTGCTTAGCGTTTGCTTTCTTTGAATATTTTATGCTAATGGGTAGGGTTGTAGTTTACGAAATGATTTTTACACCCGTATTCACAAACGATGCTTGCTTGAATGAAGCAGCAAATCGAACGCACAGCGTTGAATAGAGCTCTGTGATTGGTTCGTGTGTTTGTGAATACAGGCGTTAGTTTGATGGCACTTGGGTCATAAGTGTGATGAAAATTAATATATTTTGTGGTTAATGTGATAGCTATTATTTTCCTAATTGGCTCTGTAGTGGATAAAGCTGGTGTCTGATTGACTATGTATATTTCTACTTTTTTTTCATATTGTTATAAATTATTTTTTACCAAATTTCTGCGCAGAAAATTTATTTCTGATAAGTTATTCGTGTATCGAAAAACCGCCTCTGAAATAATAAATACTTAGTTTACCTAGGTACTTCAAGAAAGTAGCATTTTTCTAAAAAAGATTTTAAATTAACTGCAAGTATAGATTTTATTAAATCCATTTTCGTATTTAGTTCAAAATAACCAACAAAACTAACGTTCCCACTTTGTATTTGAAAGCAACTAATTAAAATATCTCTCAAACTATCAACCGAGAAACCTAATATCGTTTCAAACATCCGCTCTACCGTGAGAAAGTTATTTTTACACAAAAAACATTTTGACAGGTCAAAGCCATAGATAAAATTAAAAATCGGTATGATTAGGGAGTTTAATCGATAGAAAGTATCGATTTCAACACGCTCGGTTGATTCGGCAACACCGGGCGTGATTCCTTGGTGTTAGATTTCACAATATTGATTGGTTTTGGCTAGTGGTTTCCTGTGAGTTCGTATGGTTAGTTTTATAAGGTTCGGTAGTTATTTTGATGTTAAGGCGTAAAAAAGTATTTTAAATTCAATTAAGTATTTAATCATTTAGAGATTCTAATAAAATGTGTAGGTTTGTAAGGTAAGTTTTCAGAATTCTTGCATGCTTAAAAAAACTGAAAACATTTCATACCACTTAGATAAAGATTTATCTAGGTGGGTATTTCTGTTTATTGTTTTCATTGGATGTTGTTATACTGCTGGACTATTCTGATGAATTTTCTTAAAATTGAAATAGATGCAACCTCTAACTTCACATCAATCTGAGTGAAAATACAGGGTGAGCGTTTGTATAGAAATAATGATCCTAAATGTTAGGTTTTCATTACTTTTTATAATTATGCTTTTGGTGTGGGAAGATATTTACCGTAAAGCACTACGGGGACTGCAATTTACGCCGCACTACAGTTAGGTAAGAATGAGAGGTGGTAATAGTCCCGTCTACTTAGTACTTACTTAGAAGCCTACTGAAAGCTTGTAAAAAATAGAAGTAGAAACTCATTTTGTTAACCTTTTCACTGAAAAATCATTCCGCACCCACAACACCAACCGTGTGAACTATTTAAAAGCCACGCATACAATGAAAATGGTCCATTTATACCACAATAATGATATTACTTGGTCATAGCGTGTATTATTCTTTAATTTATGTGACTTTAAACATCGCCGGCTAGATATTAGGCCGAACCTACCGGTTTTATTTAACTAGTCACGCAATATAAACAATTGGATCTACACTCTACAGGCATAATTTAATGATAGTATATTTTTAACGCGATATAGATACGGTAATGGCCTTAAATATAATTTTTATGTCTGTCCTTGAAATAAACGGCAATTATTTTATGTGTTTTTAATTTTCATAGGCAATTAAGTGCTAGATCATTTTGGCATTGAATTGACAAAAATTAAAGAATGTTCTATTACTTAACTGGCTGTACAAAATGTATGGAAGCTGGAAAAATTGAATTTTTGGATAGATCCAGTTTACTTTGTAAAATAATAATGATATCGTTTGACAGAAGCTCGTGAAGCACTTTCATGATCAGTAACTAGTGTTCCGATATCTTGTATACTTTAGAAACAATCGAGTGAGATCACTTATAATTTCCACCCTGTATACCTACATTTTTGGTGCAAAATCGCTTCTATTGCAACTATACTCAAAATATGCCATAGTCACAATATTCTGCTTGGTGCCTATAATGTTGCCAATACAAAAAAGTACTCACGGAACACTAAAGGTGACATAAAATAGAGTTAACTTTGACTGCGAGGCGTGGCGGTGGTTAAACTAACTACTGCGGGCACGTTCGGGACTAATTATATGGCAATAAACCATTTTAATAGGCCAGCTCTACTTTAAAAGCACGACTTTGTAAGGTAAAGGCCGCAGTAATATTACTATGTATTACTTTAATTATATGACCGTGTGAAAAAACCGTTTGTTGGTTGGTTCGTTTCAGCCAAATGACGTCCACTGCTGGACAAAGGCCTACCCCAAAGGCTTTCCATAACGACCGGTCCTGTGCTGCCCGCATCCAGGTTCTTCCCGCGACCTTCACCAGATCGTCGGTCTACCTAGTAGGAGGCCTGCCTCGCTATGTTTTCCAACCCGTGGTCGCCACTCGAGAACTTTTCTGCCTCAACGGCCATCGGCTCTACGAGCTATGTGCCCCACCCAGTACCACTTGATTTTAGCAATTCTGCGAGCTATGTCGGTCACTTTGGTCCTCCTGCAGATCTCCTCATCACTGATTCGATCACGCAGGGAAACTCCGAGCATAGCCCGGACTATCGCCCTTTGGATGACCGTGAGCCTTCTATAAACTGTAAAAAAAGTATTTTCGGTTAGGTTCGTGGTAGAGCTTGATCTGAGTACGCCTACCACTAATCTTACTCAAGTCTGTCGCCATAACAACAATGTTAACAGCATTGTTCTGTTTCGGTAGTTAGAGGTTAGACTCACTCACTTTTTTCTTCAGCCTGATCATCATTTTCCATCAGGAGAAATGCAGGCCAAAAGCTTTTTCTTTGGGATAAAGAACTACTTTTTTTCACTAAAGACTCTAATATATCGGAAAAGGGTAAGTACGGAACATGAAAATGGTTTCCTGGAAAGTGTAAAAGTTTGAGTGAATTGAAACTCGACAACCACAATCGAGGATTAATTAATTTTAATTATTAACTGGAATTGATACTTTGTACGAACAATCCGAAAATTAACAGGCAATATTTCCAATTTATCTACTTCATTTACTAAGACTTACTAATGAAAACACACAGGTTCAAAATTTAATAAACGTTTTATTCAAAAATTTTCCTCGCAAATGATATAAAACCTAATTTAAAACTAAAAAATCTATGACCCAAAGCACTACCAATTAAAAAAATAAAACAAAAGCAACACGTGTTTAGTTCGCAAAACAATTTTCGAACGTTTTCAAATTTCAAACGCGGAATGTTCCGAATCGCTGTCGACACGGCGACAACATTCGTGCGGCAACAAAATTCACGTTATTTCGCGGTTCGGACACGCTTTTGGCGGGAATTGCTCGCACAGTTTCGGGTTTTATAATAAATCGGCGTAAACACCGGTATTGGTGGATGTCATTTTTGTAATGGCCGTATCATTTGGAGTTTAATTCGACGGCAATTTCGCAGTTCGTACCATTTTATGAATGCATCAATGGCCGATGGCATAGTTGAAATTGATTAATATTAACCCGTCAGGGATAGAGCGTTTTGTTAATTTATTGCCATTTAACGTAAATGGTGTTTGGGATATTACTAGGCATATTGGGTGGTAATAATTTTTAGTTAATTGTAATTTCAATTAACTGGTAGGGTAAAAAGATTATGAGACATGTAGAGGCTCCTTAAGAGCAAAATGACGATTTGTAAGAACTATTTATTAGTCTAAACAAATAAAGAAATTTTGACTTTGACTTTGACTTTGAAATGGTTTCAGCCTTTTTACCCGACTGCGCCAGAAGGAGGGTTATTTTTAATGTGATATTTCTTAGGTTCTTGGTGACATTAACTTCTATGTATTCTCATTGTGGTACATGGTAAAGATGATGGCATATCAACATAAATACTTAAAAATCTTATAAGCCTAATATGAAATTGTATTAAAATGAATATAGGTAGATGAAACTGATACTCTCGTACCTACAACTCAAATCTTACTGTCGCTAACTAAGTATAATGCTTACGATTAAACTTAAATCCAGCTTCCCCAGGTGTTCTGGGAGAAATCGCTTCCTACCTAAGACCTTCCACCAATATGGCACAGTTCGATCCGAGCCTTCTGAGACGTTTAACGCATTTATAATTCACGAGTCTTAAGTGCTATATTGTTCTAGCCTTATTTAAGGGTCCCCTGGGCCGTAGTTTAATATTAAGGCCCCCCACTCGTTGTCTGAATAAGTAATATTACGTCAGTATTTTGGGAAACCTTTTGGATTATACGTAATCGTATTTGCTTGGTTATGGCTTTGTTATTGTAATGTAATAAAGCATTAAGTTGGAAAGGTTCTTTATTGTGACATTTGTGACGGGCTTAGAGGGGTTAACGTTGGAGGCTTAGTAAACATTACAAAAATAGGCATTTACATTAGGCAGTTCGATTTTTCCAAGATATTTATAATTTACAAAAATAATAATATCTAATACCAAATGGCAAAATTGATTTCAGAAAGAAGTATTTTATTTGAAGTAGGAACTCCAAGGACATTATTACAAAAAAAATAAAAAACTACGTTGTTTTAAAATAGTATTTCCATATTAAATGACAATTTAAACAAGTGTTCAACGGGTGGGCTGTTCGTAATAAGCCCCATTAAGTCATTTTATCAGAATTATTGTCTAAAGTACACTCGCGAGCAAAAGTATGGAATCACTTGGACATGAAGTTGTTTCCACGCGATCTTGTGTACTAACGAATTTGTTAGGAACAAAAAAAGTGGCACCATTTTAAAGATTAAACTTATATCTTTAAATTGATACCAAATTCATTTAAATCACACCAGTATTTAAAAAGATATCCCGGCTGATGTGGAGAAGTAACGAAAAAGACATGTATGAACTGTTTGATACGTCGCGATTTGCGGCCTATTTACCCCCTATAAAAGCACGCGTTTTCGGATTTTTGCTTTCACACGTTGATTCATACACATCTCCGCTTCTTTTGACACTTTACCTGGGATTCTACACCTTCAGAAGCAGCATAAATCGTTGCACTATTGCAAGAAGGGCTCAGCCAGCGGGCTGTCGCATGTCAGCGCCACATAAGCCAGTCCTGGGTTTCGAAAGTTTTAAGACGCTTTCGGGAGACTGGTGGCTTTATCCCGAGACTAAGTTCTGAACAGCGCCGGCGCACATCGCAGAGGGAAGACCGTTTTTTCATGTCAACCTCTCTATGAAATCGTCATTTGACTGGAATCGACGTACAGTAAGAGCTCAGAAATGTTCGTAGGATAGCTGTTAGCGAGTAGACAGTTTGTCTAAGACATAAGCAATAGAATTTAACTCCAAAAAGGTCTGCCACAGGCTCGAAACTGACGGTAGGTCACCGATAAGCACGCTTTCAATTTGCTCGTACACATCTCGATGTTAAGTCGAGCAAGCCACCCCCATAAGCCACTGTTTCAGCGAACCAGTACTGCACAAATCGCTCCTCAGGCCGCCTATAAACCCGACCTCTTCGACTGCTGCCCTGCAAACACAGTTTGCATTCATCGGAGAACAGAACTCGCCTCCATTACTCGCCTTCCAATCACATCGATTCCAGTCAAATGACGATTTCATAGAGAGGTTGACATGAAAAAACGGTCTTCCCTCTGCGATGTGCACCGGCGCTGTTCAGAACTTGGTCTCGGGATAAAGCCACTAGTCTCCCGAAAGCGTCTTGAAACTTTCGAAACCCGTGACTGGCTTATGTGGCGCTGACGTGCGACAGCCCGCTGGCTGAGCCTTTCTTGCAATAGTGCAACGATTTGTGCTGCTTCTGAAGGTGTAGAATCCCAGGTAAAGTGTCAAAAGAAGCGGAGATGTGTATGAATCAACGTGTGAAAGCAAAAATCTAAAAACGCGTGCTTTTATAGGGGGTAAATAGGCCGCAACTCGCGACGTATCAAACAGTTCATACATGTCTTTTTCGTTACTTTTTCACATCAGCCGGGATAGCTTTTTAAATACTGGTGTGATTTAAATGAATTTGGTATCAATTTAAAGATAAAAGTTTAATCTTTAAAATGGTGCCACATTTTTTGTTACTAACGAATTCGTTAGTACACAAGTTCGCGTGGAAACAACTTCATGTAAGTGATTCCATAGTTTTGCTCGCGAGTGTATTTTTTTTACTTGGCCTGCTCATCACTCCTGATGGAAGGTGATGATCAGACCGAAGATGTAAACGAGCTTCACCCGAAATCCTCAACCAAAGAGGAACTGGCTATCTTGCCTCTAATTGCCGGAAAAATAAATAAATAGTGAATTTGTCTCCTTCCCTAAATACATGCAAAACCACAACATTTTGTGTGAGTAAATTCCTTACTCACCAAACCACTTTTGTGTGAGTAAATACCTTCCATTCCTTACCAAACCTTTTCTTCCAGGTACAAACCATGAGGTGCTGATCACCATGGATTCCCCCGCGTCCTCCCAAGACGACCGCGACATCGAGGTCAACGTGGTATCAGGCGCCAGTAGCCCCGACATCCCCTCGTCTCCTTCTAGAAAAGACCAGAAGAGTCCCTTCTACGAGCTCAAGAAGGACAAAGAAGAAAAGGCGACAGGCAGTGCGCCATACACCAGCTTCTCTATTAGTTCTATACTGAACAGAGCGGAGCCGAGAAGAGAGAATGTGTTAGAAGCGGCCTTGGCGGCGAACCAGTTTGGGAATGCGAATGATGCTATGCTATCCAGGTTAGTAATATTTTCTTTCTGTAAAGAAATAACATGCACTAGCAGACGTATTTAGCATGTTTCCCACTTGGTAGACTAACGGTCTAGTGAAGGTCATGGATGGCACAGAAAACGTTGTAAATCCTTGAAAGAGGCATATTGGGTTGTTCTTTCTTTTAACTAGTCCGTTGTAAATACTCGTAAGTGTACTATTTTTTTATCCACAACGAGGAAGCTCTTGGCCTGTATCTCACCTGATGGTAAGTGATGATCAGGCCGAAGGTGGAAGCGAGCTTCACCCGGAATCCTCAACCACGGAGGAACTGGCTATCTTACCTCTAACTGCCGAAACACAACAATGCTGTTAACATTGTTGTTATGCATGTACATACTCAAAATTAACTGCCTTTTATAGGCTTTCGAACCTCGTACATTAATGATAACTTGACAAGGATCTATAACTAATCTCTCTCTCTCAAAATAATATACTTACACATAACTAAATGACATTATCCAATGAGCAACGCGAAAACCTTATGATCTTTCGAAATTAAAATTAATGGAAGTATGTAGTTAAGGTAGATCTAAATAAAAATAAAATAAAATAAAAATAAAAATAAAAATAAAAATAAAAATAAAAATAAAAATAAAAATAAAAATAAAAATAAAAATAAAAATAAAAATAAAAATAAAAATAAAAATAAAAATAAAAATAAAAATAAAAATCATTTATTTTCAGACAAAAGCAGTCCATAGTTTGGTTAGTAACAATTTGAACTTAGAGACTATATTAGTAGAGTTAGTAACAATGTTCTTAGAAATATGTTAGTCGTACATCATGGGTTCTGTATATTGACTCTTTATCTATGGACGCTGTATAGCTTCACATGCCTAATGTGTAAGTCTAAAGAAAGTACTAAAAATGAAAACTATATTACATACCTAGGGTCAAACAAATTTGACTAATGAGACAAGATGAGCTGTTGTCCATCTCCTCCACTTGAATAAAGCTCAATCTGCCCCTTGTACAATGCTCAATCTGCCACTTGTACAATGCTCAATCTGCCACTTGTACAATGCTCAATCTGCCACTTGTAGGCTCAATCTGCGACTTGTGTTTGGTTAGTGGCGCAGAGCTGGCCGGTGCGGGATAATGGCAGGATCGATTGGCCGACCGCGGTCATTACGGCTTAATCTGAAGACTGTGCTGCGTTTGGATGGCAAGTCGACTTGAAAGAGGAATTTGTGAGTTAAAGAGTTATTTAAAACCTTACTTGATAGGGGTGCGGGTTGTAGAAACGTAAAAAATGTCTACCATTTTGGCAGCTGCCTAGCCAGATTGGGGTTACCTCAGTAGCAAATCCCACCGGAAGCAAAAGCACAGTTAGTACGATAAGCACAAGTATTTTAGAACGTTTTTTTTTATAGTGACACACGACACGCTTAAGATTAGAAGTAAGATTTTCGACTATGAATATTATGTTTCAACTATATTATTCCATTACGGTCAAAAGTTTATAATAGTGGCTAAAAAGTTGCAATTGGTTTAAAAAAGTTATTTGTTTATTATTGATTTATGTTTTGTTTATATACTTTTTATCGGCATTTTAAAACGATTTGAACACTGTAATGTTTCTTTAACAATACAAATAAATACGAGTGTAAGCTGAGCGAAGACAGCTTTTTTTCCTGATTCAACTTGCTCAAGCAACTCTCCTCAACCCTCAGTCTAAACGCAGCACCATACTCCGTATCCGCTTTAAACCTAGTTTGCCAAGTAGCAGGGCCACTTACACCGGGCTTGATACTAAATTGCGGCGAGAGCAACTTGCCGATCGGTTGGGCCTCAGGCGATCAATGGTTCATGCTTCGTCTTAGGAACTATAGTCCGATTTTTAATTCGACGGAATTCTGACAGCTGTCATTTTTTGACAATTCAGATGTAATAAGCCTTTTTTGCTTTGAATTATTAATAAATAATATGAAATGAAATTTCATCAAGTACAACTTACAAGAATGTACTATTGTTTGTTTTGTCAATTCAATGTACACTAATTATTATGTACATTTTAGAGATTAAATAGAAAAAAACGTGTTTTAACACAGTAAAACAACATATTATCATAAACGAAAATATGTATTGATCATCAATAATCATTATCGTCGTCATAATCAACTTGCATTATAAAATTGGCATATTGTTACATTGGTTATTTTATGAGGCTAAGATTTTATTAACAAAAGGATTTTCATAAAAAAGGTTTGTAACCCATGGATTATTGGCCAGGGAGTCCAGTAATAGAAAAATAATTTCCCAATTTTTTTTGTAACTTCAAAAATATGATAATAAAAATTCAAATAACCATTTTGAAATGATCAGTACATTTTTAAACCTTAGTTTTTCAAGTGAAACCTTAAATTCAAGAAAGGATTATTTTTTAATTTGTGAAAATGCTCTCCATTCATAATGGGAATGTTTCAATGTTGACAACACTTCTGAAATGTCAAAATTCCGTCGAATTAAAAATCAGAGTTTAGTCTCACTGATGAGAAAGCTACTAACTGTCAACTGTCAACGGTTTTAAACCTTTGTTTGTCACCTGTCATCCGCTTTGCAATGGAGGGAAGTCGAACCTTAATTTCGAACTCCTCCTATGTTCTTCTGATTAATTTCGTTGCGAGTCCAATGACAGTTTAACTTTCCCCCGGGAGAAACTTGACCTTCATTGGTTGGATTCTTATGGCGGTCAAACTGTAGATCCTGGCTACACAGGAGTTGCAGTTGTGGGAACGAGAGGTGGGAATAGTCCCGTATGTCAACTGTCAACTATTTAACAATTTTGTTTTCGATGCAAACTCGCGGAGATGAACAGGCCTGCCCGCATTCACAAACCATGCTTGCTTATGTGAAGCTGCAAATCGAACACAGCATTGAATAGAGCTTTGTGATTGGTACGTGTGTCACCCTGTGCGTCCACGCGCACTGTGAGACCTCATAGCAATGTTTGTGAATACGGGCGGAAGACAAGTCTAGTTGTCAAATGTTGATCCTCGCTTCATCAGGCACTCACACCGACATCGTTTCAAGTAAAAGACGTCCATTGCTGGACAAAGATCGTCAGTCCACTGAATGGAAGATCTGCCACACTACGTCACTGTTCTCTCGCTCGTACTCCGGCCAGTGGTTGCCATTTGAGAACTTTTCTCTCCAACGGCTATCGATTCTATAAGCTATGCAGCTTTATGAACTAAGTATACTAGCTTTTGCCCGCGGCTTCACCCGCGCTAAATTTCGTTTGTCACAGATCGTCATAAATTATAGCCTACATGTTATTCAGAGTTATAAACAACAATACTGGAAAGTTTTATCACACATCCAGACATCCAATTTCGAAAAAACTTTCGCATTTATAATATTACCTAGTAGTAGGATATTGAGGAATAAAATGACAGCTGGATGATATGTTGGCGGGTGTTTAGACCGCCAAGCGAGTATTGACAGCTCTTGTCACTCCGAAAAGCTTGAGTTCTTGTCCCTAAAACAAAATCTGGCCAAAAACAAAATAATAAGAAGAAGAAGAGAGTTCTCGCCGGCCAGTATGACAATCAATTTATTCATTTATTTTATTGACAGAGAATACACCTATTGTACGTATACTGAGCTAGTATAACCTATTTACTTGCTTGACTATTGTCAATAGACAATCGCTTTGGTGATCCAAGTGCTTTACTCTGATTGTTGAGAGCATGCCTATTGTTGTCGATTTGTTGTTATTGTATGTTTGTTGATAACATCTGGCCTTAATTGAGGCTTCAAGCGTCTATTGTCTTCTAATTTACATCTTAGATGTCCAGTTAACCAGTGTCTATAGAATATTCTAGGATGTTTACCTTTACTTAGGATCTATAAAATGTTTTATAACAACTATGTACCTAAAATTACAATGAAAGTGTGAGCGCTTAGGTTATTTGTGAGTTCGTTGGTCTCCGTTAAAATCTATCGGTTTCTTAAACTTAATTTTTCACTTAAAATAATCGCCACGTAATCTCACTCAGGTAGAACTTGTGTGTTGTAACTTTGATTTTTGCTTTCTTTTACCTAGTGACTATTAGCAACTACTTATGTTATAAAGTCATTGGCATTGGTAAAGTACTTATGTTTGAAAGTAAGCCATAAATGCAAAGTCCCAATGTAAACTGAAGGGGTACTCTCTAACTAAAGAATATAGGAAAAGACAAAAATTGACACAATCAGTTTCTTTTTACCCGACTGCATCAGAAGGAGAGTCATTTAATTTTTTTTAATGTACTTTTGTGTGTAACTATGACAACAAAGTGCTTTAATTCAGTTATTTCTAAATCTATCTCAATTAAAACCTCTTAATTCGTTCAATTAATCAAATCCCCGTCATTACCCAACATGAAAACCCTCAACCAACCAAAACCAAAATAGCTTGGCAAAACAAACTGCCTCCCATGTCCAACTGGCTTAAACGTCACCGAGCGTGTCAGACAAGACAGTGGCCGTCCCTAATTTGTTACCCGACTCGTTTACCCATTCCCCGACTTTATGCCTGTGTTGCCCGATAAAAGGGTCGTGAAAGCCCTGTAAGAGGGGAAAAACTACTTCTTACGAGGTTGATTAGATGGGTAATGATGTTCCAACAGGATTATTCGAGAGCTAAGAGCTTTGTTTTTATTTGGTGATTTGGGGTGGGGGGATAATGATAAATGAAGCCCTTTCTGTGGATTGGGGGTTGAATTAAAGTCTTGCAGACAAAGGTGTAGGAAGGAATCTTAGGAAGTTTGTATTTAAAACACTGCGAATTCTGATTCACTTATTTAATAAAAAATAAATACTATAAAATCTGGTGGAGAACTTGACAAGCGTGATGTAAGAAATAGTAAACAAACAGATGTAGGTACATTACACAATAAATAACTTGCAACTTTGATTTGGTCTCATGATAAGAAATATCTGTCTCACTTCACAAAATTCTGGAAATAAAAATTCATAGAAA